ATACAATTCGACCATTGAGTATTATAGTTTATAATAATCAAAGTTAAAAATTATATTATGGAAACTGTAAAACAAGACAGATTGAACAAATCTTAAAACAAACAAACATGCTCAACTGAACACTCCTACGTCTATAGAGAATACCATTTATAGAAAAGTAGGTAAGGTAGAAAAAGGATATTTTCCAAATATTTTACTAATTTGTGTAGTATAATTGAAAACAGAATAGAAAAGTATAAAGGCATAGCTGGTTAGATCATATAGAGATCAAAACGCCTGGATTTACCAATAAATAACTGTACATCATTAAGTAGCTGTCTGTTTGTTAATCAATCACAATCAGGACAGCCGTGTAGAAAATTTTGCGAAGATTTGTATCAATATGGTTATGATTTCCATAATTATCAACAAAAGTAAACAAAGTAAGTCTGAGATCATTATACAATGGACATTCAAGAAAATAATGGAAAACTGTTTCATATTCAAAAGAGTAACCACAAGAGGGACAGTCAGTTAAATGGTCATTGAATAAATCTAAATTTGAGTTGCTACAGAAGTTTCTAAGTTGACAAAGAATATTATTGGCCCTTCTATCACCTTCAATTTCAAACATTTAGGTTGATTCGTTATCGATAATCATATCTTTATTCAGTTTGTGTTTAAAGGTTGCAAGAGTTGGGGATTTTAAGAGATCATTATCAGTAGTGTTAGTTGTGCGACACATTAGAGGGAGGAAACTGTCAAAATAATTGTTAGTTCTGCATATTGGTGGATTAAACAGTCATGTTTGTCTGAGGGAATAGGGATTATTGTTTTGATTGTTCATGAAAGGATTTAAGACATCTTGTAAGTATTGAGGTGACAGCCCATGCATTATTATATACATCATGATGTGTTTGTGTTTATTTCTTCTTGTTGACAGAGTTTCCCAACCAAGTTTATTATAAAGTTTATCATGAGATGTTCCAGATCGAAGTCCAGTAATGATTTTAGCTGCTTCTAATTGAAAAGATTCTAGAAGATCTTTAGAATGGTGAGTGCAATTTTCCTATACTATGTCTGCATATTCCAAAATTGGCCTAATAAATGCTATATAATTTTTTATTAATGATTCACGATTGACTTTAGTTTTAATGCAACGAAGAATGTTTAATCTACTATTGTTATATAAATAAATATAAATATAGTTTTCCATTCAATACAAATGTTTAATATACTTTTCCCGTAATTCCATTTTGTAACACAACAATTCTTTGCAAACCTCGAACAAATACAGAAACGGTCTGTCATGTTTTCAAAGGTTAAACTGTACGACGATAAAGTTGTGGTCCTGACTAGAGATCAGCGGTCCTAAAGCAGTACCGCGCATTATTTAGGATATGGTGCACTGGAGTTTTCATCAACAACCAACGGAAGTGGATCGCGTGTTCATTTCTGTGACGACAGGTCCGTTGTGGCTTCATACTTGCGACGTTGTATCCCACGAGACCAGAATACCACGAGACGGTTTCCCCTAAATTAGATGATGTTGTTCTCAGAAGTAAATACATTTTTAGTATATTGATCGATTGCATAGCCTGATGAACATGTTAAACTGGATTCCAATATATATAACCGTCCGATTTTCTGTCGTTGTAAACCAATTCAACAAAATGCGGAACGTTTTTTTCCAGGAATCGGTGTGTGAACGTCAGCGTGATGACGTCATGACCTTTACAATGCCACACTAATGATCACGCGAACTGTTTCCTTAATGCAGTGAAGCGGAGTTATTTTGCGTATTGATCCCCGTAGACAAGCGGCAGTGGGAACGTATACATTTAGTTATGTATGTAAGATTCTATCGAGTACAGTCAGAATTAATAATATTTTTATCGAGTAAAGATTTATAATCATTTACTTATATCTTTCTTTACTAATTCTTGTGCGGATTGGTCGAGTGGTTAACACTCCGGCCTTCCACGCAGGCGTCCGGGGTTCGACCCCCGAAGGTGTCGTACGCATGGATATTCAGAGAAAGTGTTTTTCTCCTGCCAATACAACTCCAACAACCCAAGTGGAGTATAAATTGGTCTGGGGTGGATGTTGCGGTATCTGTGCTGCAGCATTCAAGTGAGGTGGCACTATAAATAATCCCATTACAAACAGAACACAGTATATGTCCAGCACACACGCAGGCATACACACATAGGGAGACATTAGCCAGGTGGCATATGACTAGTAGTTAGCGCCTGATAAGGCAGCTCCTGCGAATGCCTCAATATTATATTGATTGTATATCGCTTCAGAGTGGCTTTTGTTAGCTTAAGTGACTCTTTTAAACAAATGTGATTTATTTCGTTTTCGGATTTGATTTAAACAAAAAGAGATTGATTTCGCAAAGAAACACGGTTTGACGGAGAAATGTTATTGTCTTTACAGTATATTTGTCAAAATGATGGCATTATACATGTATTAATGTGAATTGAAAAGATCTATGGAGGGCGGCTCATTGATAAAACATACCCATTTAAGACAAATAATTGGATAAACAAATGCATTGATTCAATTAATGTTTTTCCCCATGTGTACATGTATTTTTAAACTTTCATAAGTTAATTTTCAAAAGCTACAAAAAGCAGTCGGTAAAACTAGTTACGTTTGTAACTTTTAAAATTCAATTAAATCTAGTCCACATACCTACACTGTCTATACGTATAGATTATTCTTGTCTCGTGATGAATCCAGAAGAATGAATACAAGTGAAATATATAAAAGACACAACTGAAAGGTAGCATTCGATGCGACGAAAAGCACCACTACGACATACGTTGCACGTGTTAAAAGCCGGGGTATGTCTCTGCACTTTTGTCATGAATTTATTCATCAGACAGAAAATATATTTGCGTTGTTTGCTAAATATCTTTTGACAAAATTAGTTTCATTTCTTCACAAACGAATGCTATGATAGAAGTTCGATTTCAAGTGGATATAGTTTATCATTCTTTACCAATTAGAAATAAGAGCGCTTTTTATTGTCATATTATTTCATCCTTTATGGATTATTTAGCAAACGGATTTAGAACAATGATACGTGTACGTGTAAATTAATATGTACCGGCGTGATCTCCCTGATGCATTTTGTACTGTTCTATGCCATATCATTGTGGCTCGTTAATTAAGCTAATATCAAATATCAGCTTTGTACTTAATTCATCATATTTAAAAATTTTTGAATGAATAAAAACCGTTATGTAAAAGATTAAGAGATAGAGACATTTCCTCTCATGTACCCTGCATCCCAACATCAAATGTATCTTTGTAGAATTTGATTTGCAATCCATAAAAATACACTTGCATGTCAAACATCATATGATATCATTTCGAAAATAACACCGTGAACGTAATAACGATAAGTGTATATTCTGTGTTTACACCGTGTAAATCGATACGAGTTTCCGGTTATTAACCGTGCATTACACGTGCGCTGTCGAACTGTGATGCGTAGTGTTAACGGGTGTGCAGCTATTAGCATGGAATGTGAGGAAAGGCGAGTATTGACGGAACGCCATGCTATCTAAACAGCCGTTTTTATGTTCCAATGTTTCTAATCGCAAAACTGTTTCAGTGCCGAGATTATCAGCTTTTGGAAATCCCACACAGCCATTCACACAAAGCGTTCGTTATCATCGTTTTTGTTAAATTTCAGTTAGAGCGTGTATCCATTCCGTCACTTCATTTGAACAGATTTAAGTTCTTTGGTTAAAACACAACACGATACGAGCTTTATATACGAAATAAAAATATTAACCCGTCAAAGTCAAAAGTCTGATAAAAACAACAATGAACGTGTACCGTGGTTTTGTCATCTATGTAAAGTGTTGGAAGAAGACAGTTGAAAGGCGGAGGTCCCTAAGTATTTTTGGAGACGACTTCAGGAAGTCTCTGTGAAGTTCTGGGTGGAGGTAGTCTCTGAGATAAAATATTGGGAGGAAACGACTTTGAGACGTCTCTCTGATGTGTTATAAAAGAACGACTTTGAGACGTCTCTCTGATGTGTTATAAAACAACGACTTTGAGACGTCTCTCTGATGTATTATAAAACAACGACTTTGGAACGTCTCTCTGATGTGTTATAAAACAACGACTTTCGAACGTCTCTCTGATGTGTTATAAAACAACGACTTTGAGACATCTCTCTGATGTGTTATAAAACAACGATTTTGAGACGTCTCTCTGATGTGTTATAAAACAACGACTTTGAGCCGTCTCTCTGATGTGTTATAAAACAACGCCTTTGAGCAGTCCCTCTGATGTGTTATAAAACAACGACTTTGAGACGTCTCTCTGATGTGTTATAAAACAACGATTTTGAGACGTCTCTCTGATGTATTATAAAACAACGACTTTGGAACGTCTCTCTGATGTGTTATAAAACAACGACTCTGAGACGTCTCTCTGATGTATTATAAAACAACGACTTTGGCACGTCTCTCTGATGTGTTATAAAACAACGATTTTGAGACGTCTCTCTGATGTGTTATAAAACAACGACTTTGAGACATCTCTCTGATGTGTTATAAAACAACGATTTTGAGACGTCTCTCTGATGTGTTATAAAACAACGATTTTGAGACGTCGCTCTGATGTGTCATAAAACAACGACTTTGAGACGTCTCTCTGATGTTTTATAAAACAACGACTTTGAGACGTCTCTCTGATGTGTTTTACAACAACGACTTTGAGAGGTCTCTCTGATGTGTTATAAAACAACGACTTTGAGATGTCTCTCTGATGTATTATAAAACAACGACTTTGGCACGTCTCTCTGATGTGTTATAAAACACCGATTTTGAGACGTCTCTCTGATGTGTCATAAAACAACGACTTTGAGACGTCTCTCTGATGTGTTTTACAACAACGACTTTGAGAGGTCTCTCTGATGTGTTATAAAACAACGACTTTGAGACGTCTCTCTGATGTATTATAAAACAACGACTTTGGCACGTCTCTCTGATGTGTTATAAAACAACGATTTTGAGACGTCTCTCTGATGTGTCATAAAACAACGACTTTGAGACGTCTCTCTGATGTGTTTTACAACAACGACTTTGAGAGNGAAGTCTCTGTGGCGAGTTGGGAGGAAATGCATTTGGGCAGTTTCTGTTAACTGTTTGGAGGGGACCACTGTTTAGAAGTCTCTGTGGCGAGTTGGGAGGAAATGCATTTGGGCAGTTTCTGTTAACTGTTTGGAGGGGACCACTGTTTAGAAGTCTCTGTGGCGAGTTGGGAGGAAATGCATTTGGGCAGTTTCTGTTAACTGTTTGGAGGGGACCACTGTTTAGAAGTCTCTGTGGCGAGTTGGGAGGAAATGCATTTGGGCAGTTTCTGTTAACTGTTTGGAGGGGACCACTGTTTAGAAGTCTCTGTGGCGAGTTGGGAGGAAATGCATTTGGGCAGTTTCTGTTAACTGTTTGGAGGGGACCACTGTTTAGAAGTCTCTGTGGCGAGTTGGGAGGAAATGCATTTGGGCAGTTTCTGTTAACTGTTTGGAGGGGACCACTGTTTAGAAGTCTCTGTGGCGAGTTGGGAGGAAATGCATTTGGGCAGTTTCTGTTAACTGTTTGGAGGGGACCACTGTTTAGAAGTCTCTGTGGCGAGTTGGGAGGAAATGCATTTGGGCAGTTTCTGTTAACTGTTTGGAGGGGACCACTGTTTAGAAGTCTCTGTGGCGAGTTGGGAGGAAATGCATTTGGGCAGTTTCTGTTAACTGTTTGGAGGGGACCACTGTTTAGAAGTCTCTGTGGCGAGTTGGGAGGAAATGCATTTGGGCAGTTTCTGTTAACTGTTTGGAGGGGACCACTGTTTAGAAGTCTCTGTGGCGAGTTGGGAGGAAATGCATTTGGGCAGTTTCTGTTAACTGTTTGGAGGGGACCACTGTTTAGAAGTCTCTGTGGCGAGTTGGGAGGAAATGCATTTGGGCAGTTTCTGTTAACTGTTTGGAGGGGACCACTGTTTAGAAGTCTCTGTGGCGAGTTGGGAGGAAATGCATTTGGGCAGTTTCTGTTAACTGTTTGGAGGGGACCACTGTTTAGAAGTCTCTGTGGCGAGTTGGGAGGAAATGCATTTGGGCAGTTTCTGTTAACTGTTTGGAGGGGACCACTGTTTAGAAGTCTCTGTGGCGAGTTGGGAGGAAATGCATTTGGGCAGTTTCTGTTAACTGTTTGGAGGGGACCACTGTTTAGAAGTCTCTGTGGCGAGTTGGGAGGAAATGCATTTGGGCAGTTTCTGTTAACTGTTTGGAGGGGACCACTGTTTAGAAGTCTCTGTGGCGAGTTGGGAGGAAATGCATTTGGGCAGTTTCTGTTAACTGTTTGGAGGGGACCACTGTTTAGAAGTCTCTGTGGCGAGTTGGGAGGAAATGCATTTGGGCAGTTTCTGTTAACTGTTTGGAGGGGACCACTGTTTAGAAGTCTCTGTGGCGAGTTGGGAGGAAATGCATTTGGGCAGTTTCTGTTAACTGTTTGGAGGGGACCACTGTTTAGAAGTCTCTGTGGCGAGTTGGGAGGAAATGCATTTGGGCAGTTTCTGTTAACTGTTTGGAGGGGACCACTGTTTAGAAGTCTCTGTGGCGAGTTGGGAGGAAATGCATTTGGGCAGTTTCTGTTAACTGTTTGGAGGGGACCACTGTTTAGAAGTCTCTGTGGTGAGTTGGGAGGAGACCATTTTGGGGAGTCTCTATGATGTAATGTTGAAATCAATACCCTTGGTATTCCAAAAATATGATTTCATTTTCAGAAACATCGCGTAAGTGTTGTCCTTGCCAGAATACCAGTTAGCAATTTGGCCCAGTGTCCAATAGGGTTGGTCTGTCGTATCAAATACTTGTAAAACGACAAGGCCTCTAATGGTTGGGCAGTCGTTGTAACATTGACTAATTAAGACCGGTTTTGACTTTCAGATACACATCCCACTACTGCATCGCAACCAATGTATGCTAATCAGCGCTTTTGATTAAATCATAAAGTTTATTACAGTACTGTAAGCAGTTTAGGATGGCAATGATAGGCGCACGGGCACTGTAACGCCTTACTCTCCAACTACAATCGTTATTTACTGAAGCTGTTACGCAAACACGTAATTATGTCGGTGCTAGAAGTAGGATAAAGTCGTGACTATTATTCGAGCGAGGACATCGTCAATGGCAACCACTAATATTATTTTTTGCTGGATTCAGTCCAATCTTTTGCTTGCACTCGATGAAATTTCTGATTTCCTCTTAGTTTCCTTACAAATCATACCGTTATCGATAGTTTTTGAATTTAGGTATATATATGTATCAAACATACCTTTGACATATCCTATCGAATCTCATCTTGATTCTTATGATCTGTGTAAATAGGAAGCGATCAATCTAAGCGCTGTTTCTAATGTGATAAAATTAAATGATAGCCGCTCTTACTACTAATCAAATCAGTCGAGGAATGCGATATCGTTACATTGTTATCAGTATTTGGCACTAGGGATCATACACATGTTTAAGCTTTCCTTATACAAGGAAATGACACATGAATACACACGTGTGTAGTTCTCTGTATAAATGAACATTCACGTGTGCGGATCCTTTAGACACGGTAACAATCGTGTGAAGGGCAAACAGGATCATACACTTTCACGTAAACACGTGTTTATTTATTCTTTACACTTTATCATATACATATTGAACACGCGTAGGTAAAATACGTAGTCACTCGTACAAGCATGAAGACATTAGCTACATAGGGGCAGAATCTAACATTTAATTGTTTACATACATTACTGGAGAGAAGCGATGATATCCAGGTGTCTTCAAAATCAAATGACCGTTTGGCCATATAATTGAACATGTTCCAGGCTGCATTTCAGGAAACAACTTAATAAATCCTTCGCTTATGTTTGACTTTGCCTATCTTAAACTGCGTTTGTATATTGTAAATTGTCTTCGACATCAGGTTATATTACTGCAATAATTACCTCTCCTTCATCAATTATCGGATAACGTAACCAATGAAACACATAAAGCGGTTTGGGGAAAAAGCTATTAATACAGTCATTGATAACTAGACTGGGCCGTCTAGTAGAACGTAATGTACACAGTATATTGACTATACCCTAGCAGCTAACGCAAACTTATTGATTGATTAATAGATTTACTTGAATTAACGTATAACAAAAAAGAATAAAGATTTTTGTATCTCATTGATTACAAGATGGACTGTATCTCCGGGTAAAGGTATACAATACAGTATCTCAGGAGTCTATATTAAACCACTATCAATACACGTTCTCTTGATTTTCCTTATCATTAACGAATTAGCCCTACTCATTGCTTTACAATTACTCTGCCAGAGTTGAGAAAATTAACATTACAGTGATCATGTACCTCCTAACACTTTTGTAAATTCACGACAAGTTGGTAATAATATTTTTGAAAACTATGATTTCCTTTAATGATTAATCAAATAACGAGTTCCGTCTGTGGTCACTGATAGAAAATGTTTAAATCTCCGTCAATCTGCACGTGCCTATTAATAATAAATATTATTAAATGTGAAAGCGATTCTCACAATACATTCCTTTCTTGTCAATTACAGGCATATGTACGTTTTTATTCTGGTTTTAATAACTATTTCATTTATAGATTATCAGCATTGGCACTTAACGAAAACCTACTAAAACGTTTGAATTATATACTACACAGCACAAACCATTGACTTACGTCGGTAAACATTGTACTGATATCGACGCTGGTTCCGGTCACTAGCTACGACACACAATACATTTTAACTGGATATAGTGGCATAAATAAACCATAGTTATTTTCTAAAACCTTTGCTCTAAACTTAAGTACACCTAAAAAGCGCATTAATCTCTCCACAATACATGCGAAAATTAATATGTAAACATGTATGGACTTAAACACAAAACATGTGACATGTGTCTTAGATCACCTATCAACAATAACAGTGAGTTGAGTGATGCGGAATAACAAAGCTGTACTCACCAATTACTGCTAAGAACAGTGCTGACAGAATGATGACAGTATGTGGAATCCAACAAAACATATCCAACTGTCCAATAAGTATGTTATATATTATCCCGACAGTTCATTGGTAATGTTACTACCGACTATTCGGATGTCCAGTACTGTAAATGTTACAGAAATCTGCAGCCCCTACATCCCACCTGTCCAAATATCTCACACGCGAACGGTACCGCAGAACTTAGCCAATTGTACGTGCGGAACCGGAATCAGGCAATGCTGCTACTTTTTTTACTTATAAACTCCGGGTCTTTGGGCATCGCTGGCCGGGCTCGCTCAGTTAGGATCAGCTACTTTAGAAACATCTTGTTCCATTCCCTCGCCCTTGGAAGCCTGCTGGTAAAAAAGGGACGTTATCGTTTGGTTTCAATTGACTGACAAATTGAAATTGGTAAGTAAGAGATTGGTAGATAATGAGCTAGCTGTATGGCAATACTATGAGAGAGCACGGCGCTCGCTACACTGCAATGGGAGACTGTCGCGCGGTCTACTATAATATTGACAGCAGGCAGGCCCTGACGACGCAGCATCGGGATGTCGGTGCCACCCCCAACAACCTCTTCCCGCACGTGTTAGACAATCAAAAAGCGTCATCTAGTTAGCGACAAACGTCAAGTGATAATAACATCGTATGTTTACACAACAGCCAAGCACATTTCAAAATGTATTTATCTTTTTATTTGCATAATAAACCAAGTGATACAGCAGGTCTGGAGCGTTGACTGCAGGTCTTGTGATACATTTACACCTGCGTATTACATGTAACGTAACATATCCTGGACTAAAAACATGTCCAAGTGGAAGACTTTTGACAAACCATACCTGGATAGTATTGCATGGGTAGGATCTGACCATTGACAAATATATCCCCGATAAAATTACATTAAAAAAATTGTTATAAAATAAAACTTTATTCATTTTACAACAATTATGAAACAAGTATGTTTCAACTTCTGTTAATCACTCTTCATGTCCAGGCGCATAGCCGTTGACTTAGTACATCCTGGATGAAGTTACATATGCCAGCACCTGACCGTGGACTAAACATAGTCAGGACTGAATTACATGTCCCAATACCTGATTATTGACTGAACTTATCCTGACTTAATTACATGTACGAGTATTTGACCGTTGACTAAACATGCCCCGGACTATAGTATTACAATAGCATGGACCAGTACACGTACCTGACTGCTCTCTAACCATATTCTGGAAATAGAAACGGCCATAACTTATTAAACAGCAGACTTCTCGTGTTTATAATAAACATCCGGATTCACAGGTACGGCAAACTATTTGCCTTCATTTTCAAATACAAAACAATATTAAAACTCTCATGGCGAAGTCCGACCACCCGACCTCGCTAGTACATAATCTAAGTACACACCAACCATTTGTATTGCGACACTAGCATTGCTGACCAGAACCTGTACGTACAACTCATATTTTGTTGAGGGGAACACTGTTTTTACGAAACTATTCCAGAATAATTTAATTTTGCCTATCTCCCCCATAATATTTTTTTTGGTATATATCATATATACCTAAAAAGAAAAACAACTGATGACAGAACTACTTTTTACACTTCAGAATGCAAAATTACAACGCAGCTTTTTTTAGGGCAATTGTTTAGTTTACGTAAAAATTAAATAAATTATTAACTGTGCATTTACAACGAGTTTGTCTACTTTTTTAAAATTAAATTATAAAGAATGCCCAAGATTTTGTTTTAGTATATACGGTATATATCGAAAAACATATTGTGCACTTTTTTGCATAAATCCGCGAGTGCACATTTTTTTTTTTCGGTATATACCATATATACCAAAACAAAATTTTGGGCATTCCTTAATTAACTTAATCTTCTAGTCCATTGTGGCGTGCTTGGGAAACATCAATCTGCAAGATCCTTAAAATGTCAACCCTCTCGACCCAAATGGTGAATGCCCCTCAGACAATTATATCTAAAGTTGTACACCGTGCCAGTTTCGATATCTAGAACCTGCACATTTTTGTTAAAATTTGCATAATATTTGATAACACAAAGAATTAACAACCTGCACTTCAAATTGTTCAACTTTGTCCTTTTTGGTGTTATTTAATTCAATGTGTTACATGTATACAGAATATAATCCACGTCGTGTAACATGTTTCCTTCTCTTATTTCCATGGATTACGTTCCTAAGTATATAAATTGGGGCCCAAGACGGGGTACATGTAGACTACGACTAAATAAGAAAAGCTATTGAACAATGGAAGAGCAGGAAAACAATCAGTTTTCTGTAACTAAGCGAAACCGGGTTATCTCCGCTATCTCTGCTTAGAGCTTAGATTCCGAACATCCCAGTCTCGATTGAGAAACATCTGCATCCCGCTCAGTGAGTAAGAATATTCTTAGGTTGCCAAACAACCTTTTGTCTTGCAATTTTAAAAGACCCCCCCTTGTATTGAGGTCGTGTTATCTCACCCTAAAGGGAATGAAGTATTCCATTAATCTCAACTAAAAAGTTGAACAATTCCATGTATATTGTTGAACAATTCCATGTATACTGTTGAACAATTCCATGTATATTTGAACAATTCCATGTATATTGTTAAACAATTCCATGTATGTTGTTGAACAATTCCATGTATATTGTTGAACAATTCCATGTATGTTGTTGAACACATTCGTCATGTTGTTCGTCCCCATGGGCACTGCACTTGGTGTGATTGTAGTGTGGTGGTCTCGTGAACGAGGGACAGCAAAAGGCAAAATAATGAAAAAGTCCGTCGTTACATGTAAGGGTTGACGGGGACTACGTTTCCTTTCGGGACATGTGTAAAATGTCATGACATTCGCCAAATTCATCATTTTAGCTTCCTCAATACGATTGACCTCGATTTTGAACATGAATTCTTCTTTGAGAATGGCTCCCTCCTTAATTTATTAGATAACCTTTGATGAAATTGACGAGGAGAATCCTTGATGACATTGACAGGAAATGTTTTGGTGGCTTTATTTGTTTCATACGCTCGATATCATATGTAAATGATAACACCCTTGTAATAGCCGCGCACACTGTGGTATCTTTCATTGCGGCCGGCTACATAGTCGGCAAAGCTTGCTCCCAATTCCCCGACTTGATAGAAATGTTATGTTTCATGTTGGTTTGTAGTCATATTTCAACTCATATATTAATCCCTTGTGCTAAATTTTAATGAATCTTTGTGCAAGCCGTTTGTATAATGGATATTTGTTTGTTTGAATGCATTTTCCCCAATTAAATCTAAACAGTATGCTTTGGATTTGT